AAAAAAAAAAAACAGTGTTTGATTAGGCAATTCTGCGTAGTATTTTTTACATAAGTCGTCAAAAACGAAATATTATTTATCGCATAAACGCAAGGCGAGCAGTAAACATCTTATCTCGTTTTCTGTATTCGCTATCGTCGTAGGTCGTAACCAGTCTTCTGATAATTTTTATTCGATATCACGCTCGGAACGCCATTACAATTAATTCTCTCTATATTTATTAATATATTTATCATACTAAAAATAAAAAAAAACCTTTCATCAATCACTGCCGATAATACGCTTGTGCAAGTCTGAGAAAACTCTCTCCTCCCGAATTAATCTATCCTATTCGAGAGCAATCTTCGAGAGAAATTTTTATTCCGAAAATAGATTTCCACCTTACCGTCTTCTCTCTTGTCCCTTTGTTACCGACTCTAGCTACTCTCAGAATCGAAAAGAAATGGATTCCATTCTAGGATCCGTTTCTAGAATATTCTCGAAAAATAGCAACTAGCTTTACTCTCTCTCTCAATACGACGTTTACCTTTACGTTACACCAGAGATACACACTTGAAGAAGAAAAAGAAAAAGAAAGAAGAGATAAGAAACGCAAGTAAAAATTTTTCAGAAATTTTTTTCCCTTTTTCTTCGATTCGAGGGACATTAATCAAAGGAGAATCTCTCGTCTCTTCCCTTCGAAGCTGCAGGAGGAAAACGCAGTTTGAATTACACGGTGCTCGGCCGGCGCGCCGGCGTTCGAGTCTCGGCCGTTCCCCCCACTCCGAAAAGAATCGAGAACGGATGCGACGACAAAACTTTACCCGCGCACCGAGAAATATTACTCGAGACACGATATAATCGAGAATATATCCGGCGAACAACTGCACCGACTTTTTACGCTACGAGGCTGCTAGTCACGCGATTCGGTTATCAATTTGTCTTTTTTCTGTTTTGTTTTTTTCGAGCTCTTATTTGAACCACGTTGTTCGTTTGGGAATCGCAGAGGTATTTTTTTTTTACGAAGCACGTCTATCTGGTGGATTATCGTGACCTTGATTCGTCTTTTTTTGTTTACTTTCGCGGCGAATCGAGTCTATCCGAGAGTAAAACTGAATTGCGAGTGGATGAATCGTCACTCTCGATGAAACAAAACTATTGCATTTCTAGGTGTTTCTCTAGTAAGTGGAATATTTCATTGCAAAAAATCGTAATGGTAATCGCCAAACTCTCGATTATTCTCGTGAGCAATTCCTTTGAGATACTTTTACTCTGCATTTTGATATTATCGAATTAATTAAATTTTGACTGT